TAGTGTGTGTGTGTGTGTGTGTGTGTGTGTGTGTGTGTGTGTGTGTGTGTGTGTGTGTGTGTGTGTGTGTGTGTGTGTGTGTGAGAGAGAGAGAGAGACTCTAGAACTCAATCACTAGAAAAGCCCTGCAGCCAGGCTGGTATTGGCATAAAGTTCATTAAACCCAATTGGTACTTGTTCTTTCCTCTTGGAGACATTTGCGTATGGTACATCGTGTAAATGCTCAGCTAACTTGGAACTTTATTTTAGCAATCACAGCAGCAGGTAGGATTTGCACCTCTGAGGTACGAAAAACCAGGACATCCAGGATAAAAACCCAGGACATCCATAAAATCCAACACTTGGCAGTGTGTACTGAGCACCCTTACAGATATCTTACAGGACAGCTACTTCCAAAAAGTGATCCTAGGAAAACCTGGATAGGTGGCAAACCTAGCAGCGGATCAAGTATCAGGTTTGCTTTTAATTATAGTAATTTGTCTGTCTCTTTGCAAGGAAGCCAAGATAATAAAAATAGTTCAAAGTTTAGGGGAAAGCAAATCACACATCTCATTTATTATTTTTTCCATTTTTACATAACCAACCAACAACAAAGAAATGGAAAAATGCAAACAAAATTAATAAGCTTTGGAATACATAAAGAGTAAATCTATGGGAATTATTTCTAAGATACAGCGTGCTAAGGGTTTGTTGTTCTTTTTTAACTGTCTGTTCGCTTGGGTTAAAAGTTTTCAGAAATGCTCTTTATCCTGCTGTGGTGGGTAAAAGTTTGTTAAAAGGTAAAGTTGTGCCCTTCCACCTCACTTTCCTTTCCTAAACTCCTGCACCGGAGCACTGATAGAATCATAGTGATGAGATGTTTTCTGCCTGTCAGCAAAGGTGAATCAGGCCTGCATGACCTCAGCAGCTTGTTAGGCCATAGCCGTGGGGGTTTGAATAGCCCCACAGAAAACTCCAGCGTAACCCACTGCTGACATAGGCGAACCTTTGGGCCTGAACGCAGAGCATCCTGCTTCACTGTCCATTATAGCCCTGAGCATGGTGGGTTCCTAACATCTCTAAAGAAGATTAATTGCTCTTGGACACAAGGGTGAAACTATTTTCAGATGCAGAGTGGAGTGATATTTGATGATGAGCCAAGGTACTGTACAGTGACATATCTCTCCTTCCTCCTCTGTTGCTGCCTTTGTGGGAGTGTCATGAATGAATTCCCTAAAATAATTCAGACATAGTGTTCTCCCCAGCTAAAGGTCACTCTGAGGGCACAGTACTCTTGCCATTTCATATGCAAAGGTATTCTGGAAAAGTGTACTTTTTGCTTTGCTTTGTTTCATTTTATTAGGATAATGTTGATATAAAAATGTCTCTTTAGTTTATATTAATACCTGTGGTGGTGGTGTTATATAACATAATTAGAAATTATCTGTGTATATTATGCAGCCGAAAATCTAATCCTGCGGGATCTCAATTTGCACAACTCCGATGGGAGGTTCATACATACAGGACTTGCAGAATGGAACTGTCTCCTGAAAAGTTATCTGTACTCGTTTGTGTTTGTAAGGCCCTTAGTGACTTTTAGGTGGTATATAAATCATACCATATCACGCCAAAAATACATGAGTTACCACACAACAGAGTGTCAGGCAGAGTAGCAGAAATGTAAACCAAGGGTTAGAGAATAGAGCTTGCACTTTATTGGCTCCATTTAATTGTGAATGTTACACTGCAGTGCTATCCTGTAAGTGTATGAATAGAGATTTGCAGAAGACAACGTGCTGTGTACAAAAGAACAGGAGACTGCTGCCTGATTCTTTTTTTATTTTTTAACTGTTGCTAAATGTTTACACAATACTTGTCAGATACAGCCTGTTATGTCCAACATTTGTACTAACATGAAACTGAATGAGCCCCACTATGCTTCCTATAGTGAATAAAACTTCAAAGAGAGAATTAATTTTGAATACTATTGACTGTGACTCAAGCTAATACGTAGTTATAAAAGAACAAGGTATTTGTTTAGATTTTATAAACTGCCCATCTTGAACTCTAGGTGCATCTACAAGATGGAAGACATGCCAGAAGTTACACACAAAGGTTCTGATCCTGAAAACAGCTGTACTTGGCAGACCCCTCCTTCCACAGAGAGCCATTGACTTCAGGGGCTTTGCATGTGGGGGAAGCTTTAGTGGAGCAGCTTGCAGGATCAGGGCCTAAGCCATTGGATGGCTTAGGAGAATCTAGGCCCTTTGTTGCTTAACTCCCTCTTTTAATTCAGTCTAGGTGGGTAGCAGAAAGTAACTTCCTTTGAAAACTTTTAAGTGGCCTTTGTGCAGTGGGTTCAGAATCTCTTATGCAAAGCATTCCCTTGCAATGTCTGTATCAGTCTGAAAAGTTGCCAGATGCTTGGGGAGGAATTCAGATGCACAGTGTTGTCAGGACTAGAGCTGAGAGGATTTTTTTAGCAATTAGTATATTCACCCCAAAATTGCATTTTTTGGTTGAATTAAACTATTTGAGAATGTGTGTAAAATTCAGCTAATAATTTAGGCCAAATAAAAAATGAAAAAAGAAAAGAAAAACTCTAAACAGTTTTTTTGTCATTTTTGAAACAAAATATTTTTAATTTCCTTCAAAACAACATTTCATTTAGAAATTAAGCTAATTTGTTTTTTAAAAAATTGTAGAAAGTGTAAAACCACCCAAAGATATAATGGATGTAAATGGAAAAGAATATTTCAGATTGAACAAAATGTTTACTTTGACCTAAAACAGTTTTTGGTTGATTTCAGTGAGGAAAAACAAAAAAAATCAGTTTTGATTCAACTGTAAATGACGGGGGTTGGGGGGCGGGGGCTCGGGTTTTTTTTCCAGATTTTTTTTCAATTCAGCCACCCAATCAAATAATTATTCACTCAGCTCCAGTCAGGACCTACGTTCCCTTTTCTTTTCTCTTCTGAAGGAAGGGTTTCTGTTCTGGTGAAAAGGTTCTTATGGTAATATTTGAAAGTCCCCTCACTTTCTCATCAGAGTATTTTTCTAAAGCATGGTTTAGAAGTCTTCCAAGGTTTCAGAGTAACAGCCGTGTTAGTCTGTATCCGCAAAAAGAAGAACAGGAATACTTGTGGCACCTTAATAAATTTGTTAGTCTCTAAGGTGCCACAAGTATTCCTGTTCTTCTTCTTCCAAGGTTGGTTATTTTATTAGTGAAAATCCTTCAACGCTGGTAGTAATTTCAGTTAATTCAGGCAAATAAGCAGGTCCCCCTAGGCAAATTGGTAGTGTAAAACATTTGTTTAAATTCCATTTATCTTCCCTGTGCTTTTAAAGGTTAATTGTTTCTTTGTCATCAGGGGTTGGTTGCTTGAATTGTTAAACTACTGGCCAGTTTTTCTTTCAGCCATTTCCTAAAGTGGTATGACAGTAAAGACTGACCTCTGTTAAACAAGATGGAACAATGATTAGATTTTATAAATGTTTACAGTTGAACATTTCAGCAGAGAAATAATACTTAGGGCTTACATAGCATTCTTCAAAGCACTTGAGAGGAAGTTAAGATTCATCCCCATTTTACAGATGAGAAACCTGAGAAACAGAGAGATGAGGTGAATTGTCAAGATCCTAGTGGCTCAATAGCAGAGATGGGAATGAATCCCAAGCTCCCAATTCCCAGTCCAATGTCTTATCCACAGTACCATCCTGCCTTTCTATAACTAGCAGTTATAGTGATTTCAGTTCCACATTCCAGTGTCTTGACTTCTTACATGAAGAGCCTGACCCTGAATACTTTATGCACAAACTTCATTGTCAATCCCAATGCCAATATTAAAATCTGGTGTTCAAGTCTGTTTCAACCTGTGTAGTTGGGGAAGGCACTCACCAAATATGCCTACTCCTTAACCCACCTAAATATCCTTTCTGTTTAAAGACTAGTAACACAAATGATTCTTTGCACAAATAAAATACTGGGCATTTGGACATTCAAGCATTGGCATGTTCCTTCCACCCCAAAAAAGGTATTTCTCTGCCCACCTAATACAGAGTTCAGGGGAAAAGGGGACAGCATAATTATCTATTATTTGTAGGCTGCTCTGAGTGTACGTGCCACTTTACTCAAGTAGATGTATCAAAGAACAACGTCTCTGCTTCAAAGAATTTATAACCTAAAAAGTACCAGTCAGGTACAAACAAAGAGTGGCTTGTGTCTGTTATTGCAGATAGGCTTCCAGTACAGGTACTTATAAGACGTGATTTGAAATAGAAGAGAGAAGGGTAACTGGGGGTGTTAGATTAGGAAATCTGAAGAGGAGGGAGGAGTAAAAGAGAGCGGTTAGGAGTGAATCTTGAGTAAAATGTAGGAATGCCATGAAAACCCTATAATAACAAACCAAAGCATGGTCATAAAAATGCAACAGATAGAAACTGACCACGAAAATTGTATCACTTAAGTTGATGCTTAAAAACAAATATGATACCAGAGACAGCTATTTTTAGAAGTGCTTTGATAATGAACATTTCCTCCAGACCACTTCAGAGGCATAGAGCAACACATTTTCCATGCTGAGGAAAGCTACAAAGTCCTTACAAGGTTCTGTTGAGATTTTAAACTAATACTGTTTCTGGCTCACCCGTCCAACTTACAATATTGTGACATGATGGGCAATATTCTCAAACACAGATTAGTAGTTAGATGTCAGCATCACATCACTATTATTCATCCATCCCTTGCTGGCTCTTAGTAGAAAGGCTAAGATGTGACGGGTTGGGTCACAGAAACTCCCTTTGGGACTGCTACCTGATGTGCTGGGACTACCTCTGAGCCCGTTTTCCCTGCCAGCTTGGGACTTCAGTGTCTTGTCTTGTTTGAGCCAGACACGCTAGCCTGCTGCAAACACAGATCCACGTCTGAACCACGTCCCCCACAAGCTGCAGGCTTAACCGAAAACAGCTTAAGAAGTGTTCCTGTCTCCAGCACTCAGATACCCAGCTCCCAATGGG